AGATCGCACCACTACACCCCAGACTGGGTGACAGAGTGAGACCCTTTCTCAAAAAATAAAATAAAATAAAATAAATCAGTAGGAAAAGGATGGGACTGTTTAATAAATGATGCTGGGAGAATGGTTATCTGTGTGGAAGAAAATCAATTTAGATCCCTACCTCACATCATATTCATAAATTAGATGCAGGGGAATTGTACTTAACACCTAAATGTGACAAAGCAAAACTTATAAAGTTTTTAGAATAACGACAGGAGAAAAAGCTTTAAGATCTTGGGGTTGGGAAGGCCTTCAATAATCCAAAAAAGCTTACATCATGAAAGAAAAGATTGCTAAATTATAAATTGTTAAAATTTGTAATCTCTGTACAACAAGGGATATTACAAACTAAGTGAAATCACTACCACAAACTGGAAATTGATATTATAGTAAGTATTTAACTAGAAATATATGGAATCCAGGCAATATTGAAGATTTACACATCAATAGGAAAAGAGGGATAGTGATAAAATGATAAAAACACAACCACAACAATGGACAAAGGAAATGACAAGCAAATCACAGAGGAGGTAATTCAGATGGTTATAAACAAATGAAGAGAAACAGAGGAATGGAAGTTAAAGCAACATTGAAATACTGTTTCTTGCCCTAACAGAATAAAAACTAGGCTTCTGTGTGTTGACAAGGATGTGAAACAGTGGGAATTCACAGCTTGTAAGAGTGTGGATTTGGTACAACCATTTGGGGAGCAATTGAACAATATCTGCTAAATCACAGATATATACTGTATACCCTACTACTCAACAATTCCATATATATATATATATATTCTTAAGAAAGTCTCACACATCTGTACAAGGAAACATGTATAAGAAAGTTCTTTACAGTATGTTTAGTCATAGGGGAAGTTAGAATCAATATAAATGTCCATTAATTTTATAAAGTGGATAAATAAATTGTGGTGTACTCATACAATGAAATACTGTACACAATTAGAATGGATACATATACATGTGTCAATAAATCTCAAACACAATATTAAAAATAAAAGGAACTTGAAAGAGAATATATAAAGCATAGCTTATTTACATAAAGTTAAAAGAATACAAAAATACTATGTGTTGTTGTTATATACATTAAAAATGTAAAAATGTGTAGAAATGATAAACATCAAATTTGGGATAGTGATTACCTTGGAATGAATACAGTACTATGGGTGGCTCCTGGTTTATCTGTGATGGCATATGATAGGTAAGAATTCATAGTGGAAGCCATCATTTGAATTACTGGTTTAACTCCTTTATATCTCAGTTTCCCTATCTGTAAAATGAGGATGATAAACATTACATATCTCATAGGGTTACTGTGAGGGTTAAATGATTTAATATATGTAAAACACTAGAACAGTGCCTGGCATACATCAAATGCTATTTAAGTATTTGCTATTTTTTTTTTTTTTTTTTTTTTTTGGTAAGGAAAAAGAAAACAAGATTTGAAACAAATATGGCAAGATGTTAACATTCATTAGAGTTTGGTGGTAGGTGCACAGGTAATCATCTTATTATCCTATACTTAAAAAGTATTTTAAAGTGTAAACAAATACAATAAAGGTAAATGACAAATCAGGAAAATTGTGACAATACAAATAGTACTAATAGACAAAAGGGTAATATCCTTAATATATAAAGTATGTTTATAAACCATACAAAAAAGCAAACACCTTAATAGAACAATTAAGAGCAAAGGATATGAACAGAAAATTTCACCAAATAAGAAATACAAAACAAAAAGAAATGTCCAATAAAACAAGAATGTCCTGTTGGATGAGAAAAGGTCATGGGAACGGAGTACCCAGTATTAGCATAGTTAAAGGGAAGCAGTTACTCACATGCAGCTCGTGGAATTGGTTAAAACCTCTCTCCGAGGATCATTTAGCACTATGTGTCAGAATCTCTGAAAAACATTCATTGACTACACAATTTCATCTCCAGAAATCTTTCCTAAGAAAAGAATTAGACAAGTTGCTTTAAAACAAGCATGTAAAAGGATATTTATTGTGGCAATGTTTTTAATAGGGGAAAAGGAATGACTATCACAGGGAAATGGCTAAACCAGTTATAGCATATCTGTACAGTGGAATGTGCCACAAATGTAAAAAAAAAAAAGAAAGAAAGAGAGAGAGGGAGGGAGGGAGGCAGGAAAGAAAGAAGGAAGGAAGGAAAAGGAAGGAAGGAAGGAAGGAAGGAAGGAAGGAAGGAAAAATGATGCTATAGATTGTGTTTAATTGGCATGGAAGGATGTTCACAAGGTACTATGTTTTAGATACAGGTTTATAGTGCATGGAATATGGTCCCATTAAAGTCATATGCCAAGGTCAAAGAGAATTTGGGGTTCCCCATAAGTTCCCCCAATTCCTGGAAAGCGGCCATTTGCACTCATTGCTCAGTGAACCTCCTGCCAGGAGTTAGGGGAAGTGGGTCACCATGCTCAGAGCCTCCATCTGCCAGATCCCAGTGAGCCTATAAAACATGCAGAGTTGTTTATATCTGAAGGCAGCCCCTGCCTGGGTCTGGAGCTCTTGGCCACTCTCAGCAATCACAATAAATGCTGCTGACAGTAACAGTAATCACCCTCTCATGCAGAGTATCCACTTCACAGCCATTAGCTATAACTCCTAGAAACCTCCTATGGAGTTGTTATTATCCCCATTTTATATATGAGGACCCTCAAGGCTCAGAGAGCTGAAGAAACTGGCCCAAGATCACACAGAGGCAGCCCCTGCTCTGGAATCCGGGCCTGGCCACCATTCTCTGCATATCTTAAACCATCCAGCTTTGATCACATGGCCTTAGAAAGCCTGGCATGAGCCTGTGGAAGGAGGAGGTCTGTTACCAAAATGTATGTACTTCTCAAACTTAGCTACACATTAGAATCACCTGGGAAGTTTTTTCCTCTTTTTAATCCCCATAACTGGGTTCCACTCCAGTCCAATGTAAGTAGAATCTCTAGGATGCGACCCAGGCATCCATATTTTTAAAGCTCCCTACGTGATTACAGAGTGCACCAAGTTTGAGAGCTC